TTGAGAAAGGCAGGATTTAGTGTTCAGAGCACAAAATGTGTTCTGTCCAGCCCAGTGCTGGGCCACAGGGAGCCAGGGCCGGGCCAGGCTGTTGGCAGATTTTGGGGTTGTGTGTTCTGCCTTCCAGGCAGCCACCCAGGTAGGCCCAGCTGAGCAAAGTGTCCTAAAACAGCATTAACAGAATGGCTATCCCTGTTATTTGTACTGAAAACCTGGTGTCTCACAGAATCTCGGGATGGTTTGGGTTGAAAGAGACCTTCAAGCCCATCCAGTTCCATCCCCTGCCATGGGCAGGGACACCTCCCACTGTCCCAGGGTGCTCCAAGCCCTGTCCAGGCTGGCCTTGGACACTCCCAGGGATGGGGAGTCCACAGCATCTCTGGGCAACCTGTGCCAGTGGGTTGTAAGTGTAAATAGACATTTCCATTTATTTTAAGCACCAAATCTGTGAATAATCTCCTTTGTGTTAGATGAGGAAATACATTTTCTGGCTTAGAACACCTGACTGAACATCTGTCCCAGAATGGAGTGCACCAGCTCCCAGAGGTGCCAGCATTTTTCTGTTGGCTATCAAGGGAGTCCAGACAACTCCAGTGTGAGCTCTGCTTTGGGACAGATGCCTGAAGCTCCCTGGCAGTCATTCCTGTGTCCTGTTATTTGTGTTTCGTGTTTAATACAATTCTGGAACATGCAGTCACCCCCTTCACCCTCAGGGACCAGGTAAGAAGCTGTAGCTAAGCCAAAGGTTTTACTGAAGCACAGATAAACAGACTCAATGAGAATCCTAAATTCCTCATCCTCATCTTCCCAAATTAATAAGCTCTAAATGTTTTATTGCAATCAATACTGAATTTGACACATAAATCAATTTTTACCCAGGACAAACCACAGAATCACCCAGGACAAACTATAAAATTAACCAAGCACAAACCTCTTCTGTAGATCAATAATCCACTCATCCCAAAAGTTACATAAAATAAGGCAGAAGGACACTTCAAACACCAGGTACAGAACACAAAAATGTGTTTTGTAGTATTTTGCCACAAAAATAAGTATTACTATTACTGGTCATATGTGCCATGATACAACACACACAGAATCCTAATTTCCCTTCCTCAGAAATTGTGACTTTTAAATAGTGGGGCTGTTGCACAGGAAAATGAACCAGGCTGAGAGCAAAATGTGTGGAAAGGAATCTCCAACATTCCAACCCCATTATTTTAGCACAAAGGAATGAGAAAGGAACATGTATCTGATTGCCTGTTCCAGGAAGGTGAGAAGTCAATCAACAAGAGTTACTTAGGTGTGTTCTGCCTTTATTCAGGAATTCCTGATCTACTTCAGCTCTGATCTCTGATAGCAGGAGCAGGCCCCCCTCCTCTGCAGGACATTCCCAATTTTCAAACCATTCCTCATTATTTGAGCATCACTCTCTGAGTTCAGTGCGGGCTGCTCAGACTGACCATCCTGTGCTGCTCACTTCTGGTTTGATGTAGGCCCATTTTCTGTCTGGATGGTTTTGCCTCTGGAGTCAGTGAGGCCTGATAGAAGGAGAATTCACATTTCAGCATGGAATTTTGCTCATTGAAACGGTGGCACACAAAAAGGAGATTAATTTCTGATTTGTTGCTTTGATTCGAGATAGCTCATAAATTCAGTTTTAGAGGATTTTGTACTGAATAAAAAATGCCAGTTTGGGTTAAAAAATAAAAAAGTCACATTAGTTACAAACTAATGCTCCAGAATAAACTTATGCTCTTGGCTGCAACCAGTTCTGTAATTTCCTGCATAGTTACAGCCATTTATACTTGCAGCATAGCAGCATCTCACAGCAGCTTATCTTGTCTCTTTAGAAGGAAATAATCTTCTCACTAGTCATTATTTAGGTCAGTTTGTGGTTTAATGAATTTTCTTTTTCTAAATAAAAGTGTTTGAGAAAATGTAAAGGTGAAAAAGAAGGCAGAGAAAATATAATGCAAAAATCAGTTGTGAATTTTAAATCTGTGCTTCACTTGCACATTTTGATCCAAACTGTTCGTTGTGCAAGTTGTTCAGAAGGTGTTCACAGACCCTTCAATAAATTCCCATTTCTCTTCCACAAAAACTTTTCCCAGAATATAGAAAGGATGAAAGAGAAACTGCAGGGAGAGAGGAGAAACCTCCTGAGGGAAGTCAAGCACAAACCTTGATGGTAATGGAGAGCTCAGAGACCAAGAGCTCTAAATGTGTTTTTGGCCTGTTTAATTCAGAAAATGGACAGAACTACTGAAACATTATTTAAAATCTTGATTAACGCAGGAGAACTCGAAGGAGGTGTGATTGCATGTGGTTACATGTTTACACTGAGGCTGTAAAATGCATTTCCCATGATACAGGAGGCCAGTCAGAGCCATCCTTAAATAATTGGTGTGTTTTAACAAAATAATCATGGCATTGATGGATCAACATTGACTGGAAGAAGGGGGAGAGGGGTGGCTCCGTGGACAGAAAATTGCTGAGCTTAACTGCAAAGTGCAGGAAGATAATAAACTATTGACATCCCGGCCCTTGGAGAGGGAGGTGACGTAAAAAGTGACAAATCAAAAAGTCACCATGAATTTGTCAAGAACGGGGGAACAGCTGTTCAGGGAGCAGCACTGAAAGGGATCTGGGGATTACAGGGGATCAGGAGGAGTCTGAACCAACATGGTGATGCTGTTGCTGACTCTGCAAATGCCACGCTCAGATCTGTTACCTAATTAACCTGATTACTGGATACAGACCTGGGCAGGAATGTGGAGTCCAGAGGAGCCTAAGAATGACAAAAGGTTTAGAAAATACGGCCTATGAGATCATGAGGCCTACAAGAATTTGTTTAGTCTATAAAAGTAAAGTTTTAGGGAGAAAATGATAATATTATGTGAAAGGACACAGTCTGTAAAATGTTATTGGAATTTGATGCTCAGTAATCGTTCTTTGGATCTGCTGGGGAAAAGCAGATGGCACAAAGAAGCTGAAATTCACAACCAACGTACAGTTTAGATGCTGGGGAAAACTTTGGGGGGTTAAGGCCAGTTGGGTGCTGGAGGTGGCTTTCTAGGAAGATGGCAGAATCGAGTTTAATGTAGGTTTTAGAAAGGGTTGTCTGGGCCTTGGGCAGGAACCATGGCACCTCAGAGCAGCAGCTGCTGCTTCAAGTCTTAGTGCAAAGCGCCAAGTCCTGAGGGTGGTATTAATTAATACACCTTGTGCTTTCCCTATGGAAATACACAAAATAGGTGGCGGAGGCACTGCCAGACATTGCAGCTATGATGGAAACGAGAGCTGATTTTCCTTAATCCACGCCGAAATCTGAGACTTCACCTTGTGAGCAACCTCAGGCTCGCAGGCCCCGCTCCGGGACCAACCTCACCAGCGTCACCGAGGTGCAAGACCCCAAGAGGCCAAGCCAGAGCCCGAAGTGCTCGGACA